GCAGTCCTTTCGTGATAAAGGGCATTGCCAACCCTGGAGATTTTTTTTTTCTGCCTAGAAGTTTCTTTTGAAAAGAGCAGTAACCTCTTAAGACAAGATTTAACCTTGGGGTCCTTGGGTTCATTTAATTTAGAACTTGGATGAAAACCTGGAAGCATTTTGAATAAGTCTTCTGGAGATATTACTGTGGTCATAGGTAAAAATTATGTCACTAGAAAAAAGCATGAGGTTATTCAAATTTCCACAGAGTAGATTTAAACATTTTCCAGGATATTTGCTATTTAAAGCTGTTGCTAAATGGTGGAGATTTTTAAAAAAGTGAATTTCATTTTTAAAATGACAAATAATAATTGAATGTATTTATGGAGTACACAGTGATGTTTCCATACAGATCAAGGTAATTAGCATATTCATCATCTCAGACATTTATCATTTCTTTCAATTCAGTATCTTCCTTCTAAGTATTTGAAACTGTATAATGTTTTATTGTTTCTATGGTCATCCTACTGAAGAATAGAACACCAGAACTTTTTCCTCCTATCTAGTTGTATCCCTTCCTTCTCTACAGGGATTTTTTTCATGTGCCTTTTATTTTAGAATTGTGTTTTTTTAGCTTTATTGGCTACATTTTGTTAATGCGCTTGTGTTAACTTTCCTTACGGCCTCAATTACAGATATATCCTTTGTGTTGCTTACAGATTGGGCTTTATAACAAATCATACCCAAGAGTTATACTTCTCATTGTGATTTTGATTTACATTTCTCTAATTACCAGTGATGTTGAGCTTTTTTTCATATGTTTCTTGGCTGCGTAAATGTCTTCTTTTGAGAAGTGTCTGTTCATATGCTTCATCCACTTTTTGATGGGGTTGTTTGTTTTTTTCTTGTAAATTTGTTTAAGTTCTTTGTAGATTCTGGATATTAGCCCTTAGTCAGATGAATAGATTGCAAAAATTTTCTTCCATTCTGTAGGTTGCCTGTTCACTCTGGTGATAGTTTCTTTTGCTGTGCAGAAGCTCTTTAGTTTAATTAGATCCTGTTTGTCAATTTTGACTTTTGTTGCCATTGCTTTTGGTGTTTTAGTCATGGAGTCTTTGCCCATGCCTATGTCCTGAATGGTATTGCCTAGGTTTTCTTCTAGGGTTTTTATGGTTTTAGGTCTTATGTTTAAGTCTTATTTCTTCTTGAGTTAATTTTTGTATAAGGCGTAAGGAAGGGATCCAGTTTCAGCTTTCTGAATGTGGCTAGCCAGTTTTCCCAACACCATTTATTAAATAGGGAATCCTTTCCCCATTGCTTGTTTTTGTCAGGTTTGTCAAAGATCAGATGGTTGTACATGTGTGGCATTATTTCTGAGGCCTCTGTTCTGTTCCATTGGTCTATATATCTGTTTTGGTACCAGCACTATGCTGTTTTGGTTAGCCTTGTAGTATAGTTTGAAGTCAGGTAGCATGATGCCTCCAGCTTTGTTCTTTTTGGAAAGCAGTGATACTTTTATGCAACTGAAATATCAGATGTTCTGATTCTTGATTCATTGGGTTCCTGGTTGTGGACGCATGGTTGTGGTGGAGAACAAAGAGCTTTTTTTTTTGAGACAGAGTCTTGCTCTATCACCCAGGCTGGAGTACAATGGCATAATCTTGGCTCACTGCGACCTCCACCTCCTGGGCTCAAGCGATTCTCCTGCTTCAGCCTCCCAAGAAGCTGGGATTATAGGCACATGCCACCATGCCCAGCTAATTTTTTTGTATTTTTAGTAGAGACGGGGTTTCACCATGTTGCCCAGGCTAGTCTTGAACACCTGACCTCAGGTGATCCACCTGCCTTGGCCTCCCAAAGTACTGGGATTGCAGGTGTGAGCCACTGCACCTGACCCAAAGAGCTTTTTTTTTGACTTACCTCATCATGCACATCTGCCAGCTCTGTCTCAGAGCCAGCTGTGTGTAGAAGCAGTATGGGCATTGTCAGATATTACAAAATTGAGGACATGTTTAAAGGATTCTCTTGAAACCTTAATTTTTGAATTTTTTTTATTACCAGTGTGATTTCACTGTTTTGTATGGAATGTGCAAAGATTTGGTTTGTAATTAGACATACACAAATTAAATAATGAGTAAATATTTAGTATAGATAGGAAGTTTCCATGTATATGGGAAGATCTTCAGATAATGTAAGTCAATGATGAATTACCAAAAGAAGCGCAGACTATTTAGATGATGATTAGAGGCTGTTTTCTATGATGTATGATTCAGTAAGCTTTGGGTTTTGTTTTTCTTGGATTGCATTTCTGAAAATTAATATTTGCTATTTCAATCTAATGTTATAAGACATTGGATTTACAAAATAGCTTCATCTTCCTCTTCTGCTATTCTTAATACTTATTCCCTTAACGCATAGGATTTACTATCTAAATATCGAATATAAATATTGAACATTTTAAAGGAAATTCAATCAATAATTAAAATATTTAAGTAAATTATACTTTTAAATTTAATATGCTAGTTATAATTTTGGGAGAATAAAATTTAATTTTTCTTGCAAAATGAAATTGAAATAATATACAAATTGGTAAAGATATTACATTTATTTATTTCCCTTTTCACTCAATTTGCAACTACAAAATATCTTATAACACTTCTGATATTTTTACATCGTTGGGACTCTGGGATTATGGGATTAACATGGGCTTTGGAGTAAAGTGAATGAATTAGTAGCTTATGAATTTAACAAGGTTTTTTCATGTTTTGAATATGTGTCTTCATCTGTTTACCTATCATATGGTAAATAAAATAATATTAATGAAGTGCTTAGCACAGAGTTTAGCATGGTAGTCACTTACAAGTTAGTTTATCATCTTTTTTTTTGAGATGGAGTCTCACTCTGTCACCAAGCTGGCGTGCAGTGGTGCAATCTTGGCTCACTGCAACCTCTGCCCCCTGGGTTCGAGTGATTCTCCTGCCTCAGCCTCCTGAGTAACTGGAACTACAGGCACGTGCCACCACGCCCAGCTATTTTTGTATTTTTAGTAGAGATGGGATTTCACCATTTGGCCAGGATGATTTTGATCCCCTGACCTCATGATCCGCCCACCTTGGCCTCCCAAAATGCTAGGATCATAGGCATGAGTCACTGTGCCTGGCCAGTTTATCACTTTCTCATATGAAGATCAACATAGTTGGAGGTTTGTTGGGAATTTTGAATGTAGCATCGTTTAAGTAGAGATACTCTTATAAAGAGATTTGATTGATTAGGTATTTAAAGTCTAGGCCAAGGAAGCAGTATTTGACCATGAAAGATAATAGGCAGCCAATTGTTTTAAATTCAGCAAATATTTATTGAGGCATTATGTGCGTCCGTGACATGGTATGAGGTATTGGTCTGAGTAAAATGGCTCTAGCTCTGACTGAAATAGTAAAATAAGTTCTTTTGGAAGGCTAATATGACTACAGTGTTTGGGATGAATATGAGAGGGAAGAAAATATGAGAGAAGAGAGAGGGAAGTGAGAAGTCAAGCAAGAAGGCTGCTGCAGTAATCTCTGTTTGAAGTGATATGGCTTTGTACTGATTGATAGAGAAAAAAGGGAGGCAGTGATGAAAGCCAGGGACGTACAGGAACACTAGCACATGTTGGTGACTGACTGAGTGGATGGGCAAGGGGTGCAGAAGATGCAGACATTAAAGAGTGTTCCATGTTGTCAAGTTTGGGAGTCTTGAAAAATAATGCTGTTAGTGCCAAAAATGTGGTGGGTAGTCGGAAAGAGGAGAGTGCTTTTTGCTGTACACTTTCTTTTTTTTCTTCTTTTCATTCATCTTTTCTTTTTCTTATAGGGGAATTACAGGAAGGATAAGAGGGCATATATGGGGGGTAATTATTGTATAATGTCATCAGAAGTTTGTTAATAGACATTAAATGAACAAAGTATTAACAACTGAAACAAATATTTAGAAAAAATAAGCAAATTCAAATTCACAGCCGCTGACGTAGAAAATGAAGAGATAAACCTTTCCCCAATGCTATATTTCAATCTAACAAGTATTTATAAAGTGTCTACTGTGTTCAAGATATTGCAGATGATAGACAAGTGGATTTGTTCTGTTGTCAAGTCTATAAACAATGTAGAAATCTGGGTGTAGAGGTGGTCAGGAATGAAGCAGGAGATAAAGCAGGTCATATAACTGCATCCAAGAAAATGTTTTGCATGCTAATAGAGAAGGACAGAGTACTTTTGGGTCTTAGGTGAGAAAGGATATCAGTTGTTGAGAAACGAGGAAAGCTTTTATCAGAAGGTAGCATTTTAGGCTGTAGAAGATAATCTATAGGAGTGGTGGTAAAACACTCTTAAGTGGGTGAAATAATGTTTTCAAAGGTATTGGGAATAAACATCACATGGAGAGTTGGGCATGTGTAAGGTAGTAATGGGACATAGATCTGGTAGGATAAATTGGAATCTATGAGGGCTTTAAATACCAATGGCAAAGTGTGTCTTGAATTTAATAATAGTGATAATCTTAGTAACATAAGAACTGTTTAGGTGGAAGTTACATCAGTTACTACTTTCAAAATGTACACAAAACTCTTCTGATGATGGAAGTTAACTTTTTCCAATTTCTTATTTCATGATTACTATATTCCAGATGATTTTCCTCATCAGCTTGAATAACTGAAAATCCTTAACAACTGCTTTTCATACTCTTCACTGTCACATGTTAAAGATAGGAACATAAAAAAGAAATGTGAAGAGACTTCTAACTGCTAAAGTTTGGGTTGCTTCTGAAATTTGCTTTTTCCTACTGTGGTAATCTTTAAATGATGATTTTTGCCAAGTGTCTCAGAAAAAAATAGCCAAAAATTTGTAGATTAGCTTGATGATTTGTGATGAATGACCAATTTAATCCTAGTTTAAGGTACAAAATCTTAATATGTTACCTTTCTGTGTTGATTTTTTTTCTGAATATGCTTATGATATTTACCGTATTTAATTTCTAAATATTTGTTTCAGCTATGAATTTGTGAAATACCTCAGACAACATATAGGCAACACTTTGGGTTCTATGATTGAAGAAGAAATGGAAAAATGCACATCTGATCAGAATCAGGGTGAAGAATGCGGCTATGATACAGTTGTACAGCAGGTCACTAAAAGAACTCAAGAATCTAAAGAGTGAGTATGGCCATAATAATATTTTCAAATAACATTTTCTTCAATGAGACTTCTTGACAGCACCTTGATCTCTGTCACTCACAGTCTATTTCTCTCGTAGCAGCCAGAATGATTCTTTAAAACAGTGAGTCAGATCACGACACCCTTTCACCCAGACTCTGCAAAGGCTGCCCATCTCGTTTTGAGTAAAACCCAGAATTCTTTTTGTAGCCAAGCCCAATGAGGCCTACCATGGGCCTTCTGCTCCCTCTCCTACTCCACTTCTTACCATTTCCCCCCTCATGCTGTGGTCTTGCCTGCTCTTTCACAAAAAACCAAGTAAGTCCTTTCCCGAGGTATTCGCACTCACGTTGCTCCTGTTACCTGGAATGCCCTTTTCCCAAATATTTGCATAACTTGCTCCTTCACTTTTTTTGGGGTCTAGGTTAATTGATGTAAACAACAGTTAAGTTCCTAGAGCCTATTTCTGGCCAAAGAAACATCACCAAACTTCTAAATAAAGATGAAAACGCTTGTAATATTAAACACTGAAATAAGTGTGAGCTATACATGCATTTAAGAAAGATTAATAAGGGCAAGATAGTTATTTAACTGGAATAATTATTCCACTTCAGAGTTGCTGGTAGCCTATCCTGCCTGGCATCTCAGGGTACAAGGTGGGAACCAGCCCTAGGCAGGATGCCATCATCAATTTTTTTTTGCTCATCAATGTTTTAATGAAAAGATGTTGAATTACATGATGTCATTTGAAAACCTGCTGTGGTTCATATTTCCAGTATCAGAGACATTTGAATATATACCTGAGCTTATATTACTGACTGTATTTTAAAGTATTAAATCTAATTTACTTTTAATTAGTTAAACTTAAAAAAATTATTTTGGACAACAGCTCTTCCTCTTTGGGACAACTGATTGTATTATTTAAATTAATATGTTGTAATTGACAAAGTGACATCATACAGCTATTTTAGTAAATTTAGCAAGTTTGATGCACTAATCTATATCAAGCGTAAGTTATAGAGGCTAAGATTTCTTATTTCTTGATTTGGGGAAAACAAAAAATAGAATCACCTTTATCTTTGGATAATATTATAATTCCTAGTAAGTCTGTTTCTAGCAGTATCATTAAACAATTCTAGAAGGAATACTAAAATACTTTATTAGTCAGCTAATGAAAGTATTTTCATGGTAAGAGCAGAATTTTATATAGTACTGCTAGGAAATTACTTTTTATCTCTATTTAAGCTATTTGATTTTCCTGTGTTTTAGTTCATCCATGTGTTAAAATTAATACAGTAATAATTACCTCACAAAGATTTTAAATGACTCAGTAAATGTTTATTTTCCACTTTATGAACCATGGATGAAAGATTTTACATTGTGCAGCATTTTTTTGTTTTTTCAGTTTTTTTTTTTTTTTTGGCGATTCTTCAGAAATCACTTAGGGCTAATGTGGCAACACTACATCTGTAGACAGCATTACAGTTGTTATAAAGTATTTTTGTAATTAAACATTTCGAGATTTATTTTTTAAACAGATGTTTGCACACAGAATAATTCATTTATAGGATCTATATAATATACAATATTCCTCATATAATGAGTGGAAGTACTGTAGAATTTCATTGTTAATTGATGTGGTTTTTATTCACTATTTCTTAGAGCTTTTTCTTTCTGTAGTCTTTAAAACTTGCAAAGCATGAAAGAATCTACTCAATGGTGTTTATATTCTATTTTATATCTGTTTTTTCTTAGTCTTTTCAAAACTGCAATGGCTGCTATTGAGTTTTAGTTCATTTAACTCTTGATATTGATGATATGACACTATTTTTTAATTTACTTTTTAGAATTATTAGCTGCTGCCTGTGGCCATTTTTTTAGTATTTTTTTACAGCATAATTTATGCTGGTCTTTTCTAAAAGGTCTGTTGGAAACATTTATTTTCAAAGCAAAACTTATAGATTTTCTATGGATTTTAAGTACCATTGTCCTTATCCTGTATATCATTAAGATTTACTTTTATACTTCTTTATTAAATCACCAGATTATAAGTTTTAAGGAGATAGGGACTTTATGTTGTTCACATGACCTTCCCTAGCTGCAAAGGAGGCTGGGGAGTGTACTTTAGTCCTGTGCCCAGCTAGAATTCAATCACTGTGGAAGGAGAGAACAGCTTTTGATGGATGTGTATTGATTGCTGCCAGGGCACTGTTTTGTTTCCCTGTTTGTTGCTGCCCAGAATCTGTAGAGGCAGAAGCTGGATCTCCGGGCTCAGTTATCCTTAAATATACTTTGCAAATTAGTGTGTGTGTCTCAGACTTCTTTTTGATGTCCCTTTATATCAAACTGGGATATTCCCTGGACTCTTTGTTACCTCTATTGAGTTGTCTCCTGTATGTTTCTCCCCCTAGCGGTTCCTAATTTATTTCCATCTGCTTTCAGTATTTTTGTGTTTTCTCATAATTTCTGGTACTTAAAGAAATATGTTAAATATGCATATTTCAAAACTTATAGTTCTATATGATATACATATTAAAAATTGCATTTAAATATATTAACATAGTTTAAATTATGTAGAAATTATATCTATTTAACAAGAAAAATTTTAAATGTATTTTATACTTTTTATATAGAATCTCAGTCTATGATTTCTATTCAAATTCCCCAGCAGATTTGATTTCTTTTATGAGAGATAAAGTACCTTTTCTTCTTTTGATTTATAGAGTTACAATGACCCATTATCCAGAATTATACAGAAAAGGACATTTCTGTGCATAGTTTCCTAGTGTATTTTCATTATTTTAATGACAATAAATACATGTATATATGTATATATACGCACACACTATACATGTATTTATTATCATTTCAGACATATATGTGTATATATGTATATACACACACATATTTATTTCTTGCTATAGTCATATGAAATAGGTTAGCTAGATTGTATTTTTAGTCGCATTTTATAGTTGAGGAAATTGAAACTTATTCATGATGACAGAGCTGGCCGGTAAAATAGTCAGGATCCCCATTCAAGTTTTCTAATTTCAAATTTTATAATTTATTCACTATTTTTATTTACATCTTTATGCCTTTTTTGTTTTAAATATAGAAATTTCAGTGGTTCAGGTCACACATGCTTCATTTGTAAAATAAAGAGCTCAACTATATTTATGGTTCTTTCTAGCTCTAAAATTCTATTCGTAGTGCTTTTGAGGATTTCAGTTTCGTATTCATAGGGATGCTTGAGAGTTTGAACTTACAAAGTGGAGAAATTTGATACCAGTTCTTTTTAAGCTTTTTAGACCAACCAGAAGAGATTTTAAATATTATCTAATTCACACTCTTAATAATTTCAGGAATCTTTTTCCTAACATCCTGAGAGTGGGTTTCCCACCTCTGTTTGAAAGGATACATTGATAGCTTAACTCTTACATAGGTCTTGGGAATATACAAGAGCTCTCAGTTGTGTCTGTGGGTGTCTATAAAGTATGGACAAGGGAGAAGAGAAGGAAAGAAAATAGAAGCTGGGAGGGGTGGAGAAAGAGATAGGTATAAGACAAGAGGATGAAGGTTATGTGTAAGTTAGCCTGGGTTTTGGTGGTATAATATTAATAGTTGACTTTTTTGCTAGCAATTGGAATCCATGCCATTGAAACCTCTTGCCTTAGGTTCTTTTAATTTTACTACCTTGGTCCACGTAACCATGAAAAAACCCAGGAAATAACATACTTTTTGAATTCCCTATTAATTTTTATTGCTGTTTTGTGAATTCTGTTCTACCACTTCTTCTTTAGGAAAAATTGAGTTTGAGTTTTCTGTTTAGCATTGTGTTCGTAAAGGGACTTCCCTTTTTATAGAAAAATAGATAATTTAACTAGTTGACTGTTTTAATTTCTGATCGCATTTCTCTTATTAAGACTACCTTGAATTTAAAGGTACAAAGAAATGATGCATTACCTGAAGAACATTATGATAGCTGTGGTTGAGTCTATGATTAACAAGTTTGAAGAAGATGAGACACGAAATCAAGAGAGGCAGAAAAAAATCCAAAAGGAGAAAAGCCGTAGTTACTGCACAGACAATTGCTCTGATAGTGATTTGTCATTCAGTCAGGTATGTTGTTTTGTTTTGCATTTATGTCTTGAAGTGGTGTTTAATAATAGCTTCAATAAATTATTTCTTAGCCATATTTTTCCTGCCTTCTTAAGATTCAGTAGAAAAATAAACAATAAAATTAAATAACCTAATATTAAATATTTAGTCCATGAAATAACATCTTATAGAATTATGTTCATTGAGTAGCTACATTATATTTGAGACAATTCTTGGTGAGATGAGGAAATTAATGTATGTTAGAATTAAAAAAAATAGCGTGTTGAACCAAATCTGCTTAAGCTCTAGTTAAAACATCTTATTCCCAGTTAATCTGCATTAAAATTTAACTAAATTAGAGATTACGTGTCACGATAAAACATTTCCTTTATACATTCTCTGGAGGTGAAAATTGTGAATTGTTAGTTTTAAAACATTAAGCTTTTTTTTAATGTCAAGAGATTTGAGGTCTTACATTTTCTACTACCAGGTTGTAGGAACCCTTGTCATTTGGCTGCAGCAAAATTAAGAGGAAGATGGGGCCAGTGACTGGATTGGCCCTAATAGAAGACAAGGAAAACTAGCTGGACTAGAGCCTATGCATGTGCCATGGACTTGTACACAAAGACTACCAGGCCAAAAGAAGCCTGTCTGACCTTAGTGTCGATCTCACCTGGTATTTTTAGTCAAACATTTTTCACCTAATAAGCTACACCACAGGGACATAACTATAAAATAGATCCTAACCATATACCAGGAAGGGATTTGAGGAGTTTGGATGAAAACATGAACAAATATGTATATTGGTCAAGTTGGGACTGCGTGATTGAAGGAAAAATGGTTTTGGAAATATTGGAAGCATAACTTAAAGGTTATGCTTTGTGCATTGCCACCTGTGCATTGCCACCATTGCATCATTTAGCAGGAGAGATTATGCTGAGTAGTGAACTTTACACGTCAAATTGATTACCTGATGTGATGGAGGACAAGACAAAGATTGTGAATTTTCTTCATGTTGTAACCCTTAATCATTTCTTGTTGAGGAACTATGTGGAAAAAGGTGGGGTATAGAGATTTTAGTTTAATACGGTCAGATGACTTGTTTAGTAAGTTTACTGAGCTGCTTCTTCAAATCAAGGACTTTCTGGACTTAAAAGGCACAAAAAACGCAATTTTATGACTCTGGGGGCTCACAAGATTATACGTTCTTACTTACTTGCTGAACCACCTGAATACATTGAAATTGAAACATAAGAAAAAAAAATGGAGCATTTGTTCTAACAAGTACAGGTATTCAGATCTAAATAGGACCGATTTCGTAGCTGGCAGTTAAGACCTTGCCAAATCCCAAATGCTGAATTATTTCCAGTCATTAAAATGGTAGATTTTTAAAACATGCAAAGCTTTGGTAGAAATGGGGTTATAGTTTTTGAAGATGTTCTTTTTTTTTTTAATCTTGTTTTGTTTCAGTTCTTGAGGAGGAATCATGCTTTAAGTTTCCCTGGATATCTTTGGGATGTCCACAGGGTATATATAAGTTTTCACATGTCTATCCTATAAATACAACTTTGTTTTAGAAGGCACTAATTGGGTTGAAAGCAAACTCTGCCCATCAAGAAGGCATGGTATCCCTGGACTTTTGGGAAGAAGCGTAAGAGTGACAGAACTGTCCTGAAAGCTATTTCAGTATGTCCAGGTTCTAAGAGATATTGGGTATAGTTTTGCTTATAGTGAAATGAGACTGTCTTTCATATAGCTGACCAAAGAGAGACTGAATATATTCAGAATTGAAAATATCTCTAAAATTATATTAGTCATTCATTCCAATAAATATTGACAATCTTATTCATGCCTTCAAAATTGTTGTTTCTTGCTGTGGAGTGAAAAAAAAGATCTGAATTTTCCTATGAATAACATTGTAAACAATGCTGATGTTAACTGTTTTGATATTAGTGAAATACTTGTGTTTTGTGAATAGAATGGGCTTTAATTCATTGTTATTACTTAAAAAATTGCAGCCTGATTATATTTGGAGTTTTGACCCATTATTGAAAAACAGGAGACTGTTAGTGTACGTGTGAGGATATTGAAGAACAAAGGAGAGACAGTAGTTGTTACCATAGTTGCAAGCATTACTATGAAAAGATTTGATATTGTGATTAAACCTGGAACAAGTCTCTGCAAGAAAATGCCAGAAAGATAGAAATAATAATACCAGCTCTAATAATAATACCTGCCGTATACTGGTTCCTGTACTTAGCTTTATATTCACTATAGGTATTACTAGTCCATTCTACAGAAAAAAGTGAGGCTTATAATAATAGTTAAATAATTCACCCAAACTTGAATAGCTAGTGAAGGGGGACTTTGAGTTTAAAAATGGCCTCTCTCCCTGCAAAGTCGGTTCTCTTTATTCTTTTCCCAGCTACCTGGAGACTGCTTGGGTATAAGTTATGGTTCCACCACTTACTAGCTGTGTGGCCTTGGACAAATTTCTTAACTTCTTTGTGCTGTAGTGTTTCCCATTTGTAAATGGGGATGAAAATACTACTTACCATATAGGGTTGTTGAGAAGATTAACTGAGTTAATGTATGTCTTGTGTTAGAGCAGTGCCTGGCACACAGACACTGCTTTATACAGGTTAGCTTTTATTGGTGACGTCTCTTAAAGGGAATGCTGAAATGGACACAATTCAGAGACACACTCAAATATAAAAATTTCTCAGCTGTAGTCCTATATGATTTCAAACTGATCATCTCTGTGCCATTTCTAACTGCTTGGGAAATTAGAGGATTACCTCTGATACACATTAAGCTTTCAGAATTCATATCCTTTCCTCTTGCAGTTTTTCTGTCTTTCTCTTCCTCCGTAGTAATTAGTATAGTATAGCACAGGCATTGTGCTGTTTTATAGCGTGCAGCTATTTTATAACCTGCCAAGGGAACTTCACCCCAGAGTGTGTACCTTTACGCAGAAGGTGAGTTTAGGATAATAGTCACCTATTACTCTTGCCTGTACACAAACATGTTTAAAGTATTCACTCTTCCTTTGTTTTCCAAGCAACTTCTCTTTGAAACCCATCCTTTGGTACCTGTCGTACATAGAATAATGGTCCTCTCAAAGATGTCCATGTCCTAATCCCTAGAACTTGTGAACATGTCACATGACATGACAAAAGGGACTTTGCTGATGTGATTAAGTTAAGGACCTTCAGATTGTAGGATGATCCTGAGTTATCCAGGTGGGATCCATCTCATCACAAGGGTCTGTGTAAGAGAAACCCAAGAGGATCAGAGTCAGAGTAGGCGCTGTTAAGACTGACAGAGGTTGTAGTGATGTGATTGCTGTTTTTGAAGATGGAAGTAGGCCATAAGCCAAGGAATGAGGGTGGCCTCTAGAAGCTGGAAAAGGCAAAGAAATAGATTCTATCTTTCCTGGGAACAACTTGAGCTCTATGTTGCTAAGCTTTGGATTCTTCCAGTAAGAATTTTCTTGAGTAGGTTTTTTTCCTTATTGGGTACATGGCCTTTCTCCTGTCATTCAGAGTATGTCCTTTCAATTATCCTAATTTATTTTATGCTATTCAAATCTTAATCAGAATATCTTGAGTTCAGCAACTGTTTTCTGGCCTCTGTTAAAATCTTCAAAGCTCTATAATGCTCTTTTTGGTGAAGAATTCTGCCTTTGAGGATTTTATACAACTACTGAGAAATGGCAAGACACCAATCTCTTTTTTGGCAACGTCACTCAGAGCAATAGGATTAGCTACATCCCAACCTGTACTTCAGAAGCTCCTCAATGTCTGGCTACCCTCACCTGATAAGATTTTAATTATTGCCAGGCGCGGTGGCTCACTCCTGTAATCCCAGCACTTTGGGAGGCCGAGGTGGGTAGATCACGAGGTCAACAGATCGAGACCATCCTGGCCAACGTGGTGAAACCCCGTCTCTACTAAAAATACAAAAATCAGCTGGGCGTGGTGGCACACGCACCTGTAGTTCCAGCTACTTGGGAGGCTGAGGCAGGAGAATTGCTTGAACCCGGGAGGTGGAGGTTGCAGTGAGCTGAGATTGCGCGACTGCACGCCAACCTGGGCGACAGAGTGAGACGCCATCTCAAGAAAAAAAAAAAAATAAAATAAAGGCCAGGCAGGCATTGTGGTTCATCCCTGTAATCCCAGCACCTTTGGAGAACAAGGCAGGAGGATTGCTTGAGACCAGTCTGGGCAACATAGAGACAAGGTCTCTACACACACACACCCCACCTTAGCTTGGCATGGCATTATATGCCTGTATTCCCAGTGACGGGGGACTGAGGCAGGAGGATTGCTTTGTTACAGGAAAAGTAGTCTTGACCCAGAACCCAAGAGAGTTCTCAGATTTTGTGCAGGAAGGAATTCAAGGCAAGTTGCAGAGTGCAGTGAGAAGAGATAGTTTATTGAAAGTTTATTGCCAGCATCTGTTGTTTCCTTACTTTATTTCTTTTTGAGACGAAGTCTCATTCAGTTGCCAGGCTGGAGTGCAGTGGCACAATTTTGGCGCACTACAGGCGTGTGCCACCATACCCAGATAATTTTTGTATTTTTAGTAGAGACAGGGTTTCACCATGTTGGCCAGGATGGTCTCAATCTCTTGACTTCGTGATCTGCCCACCTTGGCCTCCCAAAGTGCTGGGATTACGGGTGTGAGCCACCGTGCCTGGCCTACTATTATACTTTTTATTTTTAGATGATGTTTTAGATATTATGTATGTTTAAATTGCCTTTGGTGGAAAAAATACCTTTTCTTTCTCCAAAATATCCTATAATCTACTACAAACTTTTTTATAGATGGAAGTTTTTACTTCAGGATTTTTTTCACCAAAGAAGTAAGGAGAAAGGCTAGGGAAAAGTATAGGAAAGCAAGAGAACAAAACAGTCCAAACAGCACTGTAGCTGTGCCTATGGTACTATTGGTAGCTTTTTTTTACTTGTTTGTTTTGTTTATCTGTTTCATTCATCTCACATTTCTGAGTATGCAACATTTTGGCTTTGTGTCTTTTGAGTCTTATAATGTTATATATGTTTTAATTGCTTGCAAATAATAGTTTTCATATACGTGAAGGTACACTATTCTACTGCGACATTCAGTTCCCATTTAAAAGTCTTGGGAAGAAAAATTGTAAGTTGCTGCCAAATCAAAATAGATCATCTCCTCTTGTCTGAATTATGTTTTGTGCTTGGAATTATATTGAAAAAATAACTTATAGCAATATTTCTAAAAGCCTTTTAAATAAATGAATGTCCTGTCAATTGTGTTACAGAGTTACAAATTTTGTCAAGGAAAATTACAATTGATTTTAGACCAGTTGGATCCTGGGCAACCTAAAGAGGTAAGTTTCAAGGATAGCTGTTAAGTTTCATGCAGATAGCATATATTTACCATATATGAGATTACAATCAGTAGCAACCAGGTAGTTTCCCTTGAGGCTAAAGCCTTTATGATTATGGGCAATCCTAGACCAATATCCATGGTAAATTTTCAAGTCCAAATGAAAAGTCACAGAGTAAGGGAGGCTTTCCTTAGAGAATTGTCGTGGTTTGGAAGAGGAAATTTTTATCTTTAGCATCAATTTCAAAGGGATAAAGTTATAGGCAGTTGTCCCCCAAACTGTTCTTTCATTGTTGTTTTATATGTAACATTGTAGTTAGTCATTTCTTAAGAAAAAAGATTTTTAATCCTTTTTCTACTTTCAGAAAATGTGAACATCTTTTAAAAATAATTATTTTTAATGGTCAAATAAAAATTATGTATATTCGTCTTGTATAACATGTTTTGAAATATGTATACACTGAGGAATGGCTAAGTTGAGCTGCTTTAACATGCATTGCCTCACATACTTATCATTTTTTGTGTTGAGAACATTTAAAATCTACTCTCTTAGCAGTTTTCAAGAATAAAACATTGTTGTTAACATAGTCATCATGTCATCATGTTACACGGTAGATCTCTTGAATTTACTTCTCCTAACTGAAATTTTGTGTTCTTTGACCAGCATCTACCCATGCCTCCCCTAACTATCTGAGCAATTTTGACCCATTTGTTTATTTTTTAGAAAAATTATATATATATATATTTAAGATAGGATCTTAATCTGTCACCCAGGCTGAAGCACAGTGGCACAATCATGAATCACTGCAGCCTGTACCTCCCTAGGCGCAGGTGATTTTCCCACTTCAGCCTTCTAAGTAGCTGTGACTACAGATGCACGCCACTGCACCTGGAGAAATTTTGTATTTTTGGTACAGATGGGATTTTGCCACATTACTTAGGAAGATCTGGAAATACTGTGCTCAAGTGATCCACCTCTTGGCCTCCCAAAATGCTGGGATTATAAATGTGAGCCACTGTGCCTGGCCAGAAAAAGGATTTTTGAGAGAAGCAATTATATTGAATTGTGTCTGTTTATATTTTAAGAGAGTGTACAAATCACTGTTTATGAAGACTTATTTCATTTGAAAGTCAGCATGAAATAGAAAATATGATAGGAATTTTTTTTTTTTTTTTTTAATCTAAGCCTTTTATGTATTGGTATGCCTATCTTGCCATTTGGTCTCAATTTTTAAAATTATTTTTCTCAACCTATTAAATATAAACTGAATGAATAGTTGTGATTTACTCCTACTGAAATTTTCTAAAAAATCATAGAGAAGAGTAATTTTTTTCTTCTCAGCATTTTGCATTATGATTTATTTTCTGGGTTCATACTAATAATAACATCTCTCAAAAAATATTGGAAATGAGTTTTGAATTTTTTATGATAAAAATCCTGTTGCCTTCAATTTAAATGGATAATTTGGAAATCTATACTTGTTCAGAAACCTTCATTTTGCTTCTGCAAGTAGTAAATTCTAAATGGGATTTTTTCCTAAAAATTTCCTGAAATGGAAAAATGACTTAACATTGTAAATGAATTACTAATTTTAAAAACTCTCAATATTTTCCTTACTACCTATCACAAATAAAGTTATATTGAGGAGTTCTTTCATATGAATATATAGACAGTTTCAAATATATGTATACTCTTTGTCTTTTTTGTCTAAAAGTTGCGCCCTGCTTCAGAGTGTCTGATTTGCTGAGGTTTTGGCTCCTGTCTTTTAGGCCTCACCTTTTTAATGACTAGGCTTTAGTTGTTTCAGTTGGGAAATGACGAGATTTTGAGGATGAGGCTGGAATTAGTGTGTTATTATTCACTACTTGGATATTGAGTGGGAGAAAAGCTTTGTTCCATTCTTCATTGGAGTGGAACTATTCTCTCCTACTTTCCCTTGGGTCATACTGTTTTGAGTGAATTCTGATTGCATTTTGAGAAGACTGATTAAGAAGTAAGCTTTCTATGAAAATACATAAATTAGATTTTGCATCCCACTACTGAGTGACTTCCTTTTTTTTTCTACCTAAGTAGTCAGAAGGCCAGAAAATACGGTATAGCACAAGTTCAAACTGATTGTTTTGTGAGAATCGTGCATATATCCTAGAATGGGAATGCTTTGCCAGGGGCATATCTGGGCAGCATTTTGAAATTAAAGCCCTCAAACTGTAGGAACGACCTAGAATAGGGAAAGCCTGTAGGACAAGGTCACTGGAAAACGTTGGTGATTCTGATTCAACTACTATTCTTCCTTCCGTTCCACTTAGACATGATACTTAAAATCTCCTACTACATTTAGTATTTTAATTTTTGCTTTACACAAACAGCAACTGTTTTTTTCTCTGCTTAGCACTTAGTTTAAAAAATGATTTCTCAAGAGCTTTTTAATATAAAGGCATCTAATAAATCACTCTTTATAAATTATCCAGACTTTGCCTTTTAGTAGCTTGTTAAATATTGTTTTGGAAAAGTGGCGTTATTTTAGTGACTAAGTGTTAATAAAAGTCTTTTAAAAAATTGTAGGTGAGATACGAAGCCTTGCAAACATTATGTTCCACTCCTCCATCTGATGTCCTGAACTGTGAAAATTGGACTACTCTCTGTGAAAAACTGACAGTGTCTCTTTCAGATCCTGATCCTGTGTTTAGTGTAAGAAAATGGTTATAGAAATATTAAAAATAATATGTTTTCCCACCATTCTAGAAATAAGTAGAATATGATAGTTATGACAATTTTCTTTTCTTTTCTTTTTTTTTTTTGAGACCAAGTTTCATTCTTTTTGCCCAGGCTGGAGTGCAATGGCGCTGCCTCAGCTCACCTCAACCTCTGCCTCCCAGGTTCAAGTGATTCTCCTGCTTCAGCCTCCTGAGTAGCTGGGATTACAGGCATGCCACCACCACGCCCGGCTAATTTTTGTATTTTTAGCAAAGATGCTGTTTGACCATGTTGGCCAGGCTGGTCTCGAACTCCTGACCTCAGGTGATCCACCCACGTCGGCCTCCCAAAGTGCTGGGATTACAGGCATGAGCCACCATGCCTGGCCAATAGTTTTCTTTAATAGTAACTCACACGTTTATGGAACTTCAGTTTCAGCTTTCTAATTGTCAAAATTTTTCTTAAGAAAATTTTATGATTAGATTCAAAACATGGTCATACTTCAGTGCCAAATAATACACTGCTACCTTGTGCATTTTGTCTCGTAAAGGAATATCCTAGTATTTTATTTCATTTTTGTTTTGCTTTTTGAGACAGGGTCTTGCTCTGTCACTCAGGCTAGAGTGCAGTGGCATGATCACAGCTCACTTCAGCCTCAACCTCCCAAACTCAAGTGACCTTCCCACCTCAGTCTCCCAGGTAGCTGGGGATTATAGGCATGCACTACCATGCCTGGCAAATTTTTGTATTTTTTGTAGAGATGGGGCCTCACCACATTGCCCAGGCTGGTCTTGAATTCCTGGGCTCAAGTGATCCTCCAGCCTCGGCCTCCCAAAGTGCTGGGATTACGGACTTGAGCCACCACGCCTGGCTGTGTCATTGCTTTTGAATAATGCTGTTTTATGATACTCTCAAATTAAAAAAAAAGAAAAAATATTTTAAAAGGATTCATGGTATATGAAAGTTTGAACTAAAAATGGTGAATTATGGTCAAAAGGACTTATAAACATTTTCCTCATGTATTTAAGTGTTTACTTAGAGATTGCTTAACTGCTTAAAGAGAGAAGCAAGAAAACTAATGCTGAGATTTTAGAAAATAATTTGAGGTGAATCATAACACAAATATAGAAAGTTTCTAAAATTGTAAAATTATGAAGTCAGATATGATTTTATTTAAAATTTGATTTGCATAAAGTTACTTTTTAGGAACAGTTATTGTATGATGAAAAGTAAGCTTTACATGAACAAGTGCAGTAATTCTGCAGATAGTGTCTATGATGAGAATGAAGGAAAAAAACCCCTGATTATCCAAGAATTACATTTTAAACACAAATTGTATTTCCTTTTAGAGGATCTTTTCTTCCTAATTGATTTATCTGTGAAGATAGTTTTGGCTTTAAAATCGATATGATGTGTGGCATAGAATATAAGGCATGAGAAGAAGAGTTACATTTTGCTCTTTGTTCAGCAAATATGTATTGAGTATCTACAGTGTGTATCATTCTCCTTTAGACACTGGGAACACACCAGGGACAGGACACAAAATCTTTGCCCTCAGAGAACTTAGATTTCAGTAGATAACGCAGATAATAAATAAATATTTGTAAAAAAATATAAGGTATCCCAATATATTTGTCTATTTAAAATCAGTCTACTGTTAATGAAGGTATGGCTATACTGGTAAACAGAAGTGGTTTGGGAATCTCTGTTTGTAATTGTTGGAAGGGGAAGAAGGTGTTTACCTAATACTTGGATGCAGTTCAACCTTGTTAACACCAGAGGGTATTGTAGACTTCTGGAACCACTCAATGATCCAAGAACTTCAAGGTGAAAAAAATGTATCTCAGGGTTATCTTTAACATTTCAAGCTCTCTAATGACAGATGCAATTGTAAATTTCCCTTTTTTTTTTCTTTTACTTAATAAATACAGAATAGTAGCCTAGTAGGTTTCCTTTATTTTACAAATTATGAAATAACTATAAAATAGCAAATTGTAGCCATTTAAAAATGTTATGCAGCAAGGTTCAGTTTTATTACTTATGCTAATAAAATTGGAAGCAATTATTATAGAGGAGAGATGCCAATAAAATTAGTCATTTTGAAGCAGAAAACAAGGCATGGAGTTTTTTTCATTTTAAATTTGTGCTTGATCCAAATTCTTTTTGAGTTCAATTCTATTTCTTCATCTCCTCCTCTAAAGGACTCTTACATGCAACTGAGTGAAGCCTATAGGGTTGAAAAGTGTGACAGATACCTATCAGTTGCTGCAACTATAAAAATAGACTTCCCAAAGTGTTTAATATCCTTTGTTCAGTAGGAATTTCTTGGGGCTATAAGAAGATACCTTTAGTAACTTGGGGGAACTATTTCTTCTTGTAAGTGGATTATCTAAACTGATATCAACAGAGTTATTAATTTCTCCCCCTAGATTAGACTATTTAAGGCAATTTTATGTTTTTATTTAATTGAAAGTCAAATTTCACTATTAGGATTAATCTCATCATGATATTAAAGTAGGTATAATTAAATGGATAATAATAGCTATCATTTTAAAGTAAGTCTTAGTGCCAGGCATTGTGCTAACTACATCTGTTGCCACTTTTAACTTATTTACCTTCTACTGGTTTCTATTTTGAGTTTTAATAATGTAAAAATTTAAACATAGAGTAATTTTCTTGGGAATAGGCAAAATTATTAGGAATAATTCTAAATCTTTAATTACTGAAGCTACCCATGTAAGCAATTAAAAATGATGAATTTTGGATTTGGAAATACAGGGTGTTAAAAAAAATTTGGTACTGCCTACTCTGTTCCTTTGTTTGACACCTTTATATAGTTCCTCTATGAAACCTCACCTTACCCCCTCCTCACCATGTCAATATCCTCTATGACCAGATTGTGCAGTAATATCTTTCTGTTATTAGATTCACATATTAGTTTTGGTCAGTTTTAATTTTTGCTGACACAAGAGTGTGCCCTTTTTAAATAAGTACATTCTGACTCTGGTTTCTGAATGGCTTGTTTGTATTTATTTTATTTTCTGGGTTTTTACTGTGTGAAAAATGTTTCATTTCTATTCTATTCTTATAAGATCTTAGATGCAAATTTTCTGTCTCATTTCTGTAGGACCGGATTTTAAAATTCTGTGCACAGACATTTTCGCTTTCCCCATTACATATGACCAAGGAAGTTTATACAAGCTTAGGTATGTTTATGAAAACATTTAAAAATGTTTTTGTCATTTGCATGTACTTAAGAATGGATAGGAAATAACTTTTTTCAGAAAGCACTGTAAATGAATGATGTAATTTTTTTATGTTTTCCCTTTTTTTTCAGCTAAGTATTTGGAGTCATACTTTCTTTCTAGGGAAAATCATATTCCTACTCTTTCAGCTGGTGTAGATATAACTAATCCTAATATGACTCGTTTACTTAAAAAGGTATCCATTTACTAGAATAAGCTTTCATTTTTATTTATTTAGTTTTATATTTGAGGGTGCTAATTTTTTTGGAACTATTGTGCACTGCTTTGTAGGTTCGTCTTCTAAATGAATATCAGAAAGAAGCTCCATCTTTCTGGATTCGTCATCCAGAGAAGTAAGTCCCCTCCCAATGTATTCCAGCATAGAACTTAGCAGTGTTACCGCCCCATATACCTTTCAGACAGAAAGAGTAAAGACAGTCTTAATGGATTGACACGATTGGGAAGGGATTAATAAAATTTTTATTTTTGTTTTTCTTAAGCTTGTCGTGTTTTATACTTAGCTATGTGAATCACAAGTACCACTTTACATCATTTATCACAAGGCAAAAAGAAAATGTAGCATTAGTTTTTTTTTTTTTTTTTTTTTTTTAAACGTATCAGTGATCTGAAGATCTGCGTTAGGTTCTTATTGGTCTTTACTATTACATTTTGGACAAGTTCCTTAAATATTCTTTAAACTTTTTCCTTTCAGCTCTAAAATTTATTCTAAGTTGTAAGAGAATCTGTGAGTCTAAAAAGGAAAGTTAAATTTGCAAATCCAGTGTTGAAGTAAAAAGAACCTGTTGTTAAAGCAGAAACATTGAGTATGAATCCTACCTATGTCATTTACTGAAATAGAGAAAATGTTTCTGAAGATTATATGCTACTTTATACAGTTTGGATGTTATCTAGCGATGGTGCTTCGTGCCTTTTACTAAGTTGTATGATAAATGCCCAATTAACCAGAACACAATTCTGTCACCAGTGGTGAGCCCACTATCTAGTATGTGATTAATGTTTACTCAATTCCATAAATATAAAGTCTACCACCAGTACTATATAAGTAATTGCATTTCTTTTTTCCCAAACCGTAAGGTATATGGAAGAAATTGTGGAGAGTACTTTGTCTTTGTTAACAGTTAAACATGATCAAAGCCATGTTGTCTCACAAAAGATTTTGGATCCGATCTACTTTTTTGCATTAGTTGATACCAAGGCTGTGTGGTTCAAAAAGTGGATGGTAAGGAAAAATAGAATATTTTTATACCTTTTAGTGCATTGCTATATCATTTTAATAAATAGCTAATGTTTGAATAGTTATTGTGTACTAAGAGTTCTAATCAGTTTTACATGTGTTAACTCATTTATTATAAAAATTTATGAGGTTGGTGGTATTAATACCCCCCATTTTTTCAGATGCAGTAACTGAGATAATGGAGAAGTTAACTTGCCCAAGATTTTTTACCTGTTAAGTGGCAGAGCCAGAATAGGATTTTAAGTGGTATTTCATTTGAATCTATTTAAGCTGAATGACTTATTCAAAATCTATTTTTTCTTTAGTGTAAAAGCTTCAAAAATTTTAAGCAGATGTGGTATAACATAAGGATTCAGTACGTATTTTTTTCGGGCTTAGGAGATATTTCTGAAAGTATTTTTTCATTTGCCTCCCTCTTGAATCTGAAGTTTGGGGAATGTGTTTAGTGTCTGAACCTGGCAATTTCTTATGAAGCTGGCACTGTCACTAATATTAAGAGTAGAGAGATCTTTATACTGTTACCTCCCTCAACCTCTGTCGAATAAGAGACGTCTGTGTTTGTCAGTAGTAGCAACAGGACTGACTTTTGTGCTCACATTGTTTTCTCTCTCATTCTGTACTGGGCACCTAGGTACTATTATTTCTTGCACTTGAGAAGAGAGGGGCTGGGGCATTCATTTACACTTCAGCACAATTTGGATGTTATCTAGCGATGGTGCTTTGCGCCTTTTACTAAGTTGTATGATAAATGCCCGATTAACCAGAACACAATTCTGTCTTCAGTGGTTAACCCTTACCTGGCCTATGTAGTATGTGATTAATGTTTACTCAATTAAATAAAATTATTTTAAAATGAACCCTTTGTTCCTCACATCTAACACTTAAAGTTTTTTTTCTTGATTATCAAATTATACCGTTATTTGAGAAAATATGCAAAATATGTAAAAACTTAAATAAAATTAAAATTTTCTAATTATACAATGCAGGGATAACAACTGTTAAGATTTTGTTTCATGTAGGTATGTTGTATATACTTTTATATTTATCTGTTTAGGTCATCTTTTTTTTTTTAAACAAAATCAGTCATATTTTACTAACTTTGTAATTAACTTTTTTTTTCATTTGACTTTCTTATTGCTAGGAGTTGATTCTTTTTTTTTTTTTTTTTTTTTTTTTTTTGAGACGGAGTCTCGCTCTGTCGCTCAGGCTGGAGTGCTGTGGCCGGATCTCAGCTCACTGCAAGCTCCGCCTCCCGGGTTCCCGCCATTCTCCTGTCTCAGCCTCCCGAGTAGCTGGGACTACAGGCGCCCGCCACCACGCCCGGCTAATTTTTTTTGTATTTTTAGTAGAGACGGGGTTTCACTGTGTTAGCCAGGATGGTCTTGATCTCCTGACCTCGTGATTCGCCCGTCTCGGCCTCCCAAAGTGCTGGGATTACAGGCGTGAGCCACCGCGCCCGGCCTAGGAGTTGATTCTTAAGACAATGGGGTACAAATTTATTTAAAAATCACATTCTGAAATGTGTTCTAGTATACATGAAAATTCGTCACATCCTCCTATAATTTTTGCATCTAAGGCAGGAGTTGCCAAATTTTTTATGTAAAGAGCCAGACCATAAATATTTTTGACTTTGTGGGCTGTACAGTCCCTATTGCAGCTGTTCAACACAATTGTTGTAGCTCCAGAGCATCTATACATAATAGGCAAATGAATGGACTTGACTGTTCAAGTGAATTTTTTTTGCAAAATTGGGTCTAGGCAGAATTTGATCTGAGGGCTGTAGTTTACTGACCCTGGTCTAAGAGATATACTATGAGGATTTATTTTCAGAACATGTTCAATATTAAAAATAGTTTAATACTATGTCAACTTATTTCTCTTATTAAATTTGAAAAAAGGATTAATCGTTTTTGAAAACATTTTAAGCTACAAGGTTTAAAACACAAGGTTTTGATTAACCTTCAGTTACCCAAAACAGAATTTAATCAATGTTTAATTAAAAACTCTATTCCCAGCTGGGTGTGGTGGGTCACATCTGTAATCCCTCACTTTGGGAGGCCGAGGTGGGTAGATCACTTGAGGTTGGGAGTTTGAGACCAGCTTGGCCAACATAGCAAAACCCCATCTCTATTTAAAAAGCAAAAAAAAAAGAAAAAAAAAGAAAAACAATACAAAAATCCTCTATTCCCTAGAATTCTGAAAAAATTTTGACTTGTATTATTCTGTTTAATATTTTTATTCTTTAAAAAGTTTTTTTTATTATACTTTAAGTTCTAGGGTACATGTGCAGAACATGCAGGTTTGTTGCATAGGTATACATGTGCCATGGTGGTTTGCTGCACCCATCAACCCGTTATCTATATTAGGTATTTCTCCTAATGCTATTCCTCCTGTAGCACCCAACCCCCCGACAGGCCCTGGTGTGTGATGTTCCCCTCCCTGTGTCCATGTGTTCTCATTACTCAACTCCCAATTATGAGTGAGAACATGCTGTGTTTGGTTTTCTGTTCTTCTGATAGTTTGCTGAGAATAATGGTTTCCAGCATCATCCATTTCCCTGCAAACTCATCCTTTTTTATGGATGCATAGTATTCCATGGTGTATATGTGCCACATTTTCTTTATCCAGTCTATCACTGATGGGCATTTGGGTTGGTTCCAAGTCTATGCTATTGTTTTTTTTTTATTTATTTTTATTTTTATTTTTTATTTTTGAGATGGAGTCTCGCTCTGTCACCCAGGCTGGGGTGCAGTGGCCGGATCTCAGCTCACTGCAAGCTCCGCCTCCCGGGTTCACGCCATTCTCCTGCCTCAGCCTCCCGAGTAGCTGGGACTACAGGCGCCCGCCACCTCGCCCGGCTAGTTTTTTGTATTTTTTAGTAGAGACGGGGTTTCACCGTGTTAGCCAGGATGGTCTCGATCTCCTGACCTCGTGATCCGCCCGTCTCGGCCTCCCAAAGTGCTGGGATTACAGGCTTGAGCCACCGCGCCCGGCAAGTCTATGCTATTGTGAACAGTGCTGAAATAAACGTATGTGTGCATGTGTCTTTGTAGTAGAATGATTTATAATCCTTTGGGTATATACCCAGTAATGGGATTGCTGGGCCAAATGGTATTTCTAGTTCTAGATCCTTGAGGAATTGCCACACTGTCTTCCACAATGGTTGAACTAATTTACACTGCCACCAACAGTGTAAAAATGTTCCCATTTCTCCACATCCTTTCCAGCATCTGTTGTTTCCTGACTTTTTAATGATCGCCATTCTAACTGATGTGAGATGGGATCTCATTGCAGTTTTGATTTGCATTTCTCCAATGTCCAGTGATAATGAGCATTTTGTCATAAGTTTGTTGGCTACATAAGTGTGTTCTTTTGAGAAGTGTCTGTTCATATCCTTTGCCCACTTTTCGATGGGGTTATTTGTTTTCTTCTTCTTAATCTGTTTAAGTTCTTTGTAGATTCTGGATATTAGCCCTTTGTCAGATGAATAGATTACAAAAATTTTCTCCCATTCTGTAGGTTGCTTGTTCACTCTGATGATAGTTTGTTTTGCTATGCAGAAGCTTTTTAGTTTAATCAGGTCCCATTTATCAATTTTGGCTTTTGTTACCATTGTCTTTGGTGTTTTAGTCATGAAGTCCTTGCCCATGCCTATGTCCTGAATGGTATTGCCTAGATTTTCTTCTAGGTTTTTCATGGTTTTAGATCTTATGTTTAAGTCTTTAATCCATCTTGAGTTAAGTTTTCCCAACACCGTTTATTAAATAGGAAATCCTTTCCCCATTGCTTGTTTTTGTTAGGTTTGTCAAAAATTTATTCTTTTTTTTTGAGACGGAGTCTCTCTCTGTCACCCAGGCTGGAGTGCAGTGGCGCAATCTCGGTTCACTGCAACCTCTTCTTCCTGGGTTCAAGCGATTCTTTTGCCTCAGCCTCCTGAGTAGCTGGGACTACAGGTGCGTGCCACCATGCCTGGCTAATTTTTATATTTTTAGTAAAGACAGGGTTTCACCATATTGGCCAGTTTGAGACCATGCTTGAACTCCTGACCTCGTGATTCGCCCACCTCGTCCTCTCAAAGTGCTGGGATTACAGGTGTGAGCCACCGTGCCCGGCCAATATTTCTATTCCTAAGTGAAATGAAGAAACTATATTTTGAACACTAATGATATCTTATATAATCTAGCTAAAAAATATTTATAGTTTTCCCCAGCTTTGTACAATGCTATACATTTATATGTTTTAATTACATCTATATTTTGCTCCAAGGAGAGATTTAAAGCTCTTTTGACACTTTGAATCATTTTTAATTATGGTTGGCAGAAAATGATTAGGGTACTGTCACTTTAGAGCATTTCAGTGTTGGCAGATTTCTGCACATGTAGACCATACAGTATCCTCTTCAGTATAAGAGTTGTGCTTTTTTTTTTCTTTTTCTTTTCCACACTGTGTATCTTTTTTTGGATTCTGTCATATGTATACTTTTTTGGTGGTGATTTTAAAATAGTTTAGTGTGGAAATTGGACACAATTGATGGATAGAATGTTCTTCTACTGGTCGATCACTAAATGATCTGCAAGTTTTTTGATACGATTTGCATTCTTGTGATTGCTATCCTCCTAATCCAATACACACATAAACACCTGTCATTGACTATAATGGTTTAAACCTAAGCTATGGTGTGATTTATGATGTTGTCATTGAAGATAATGCAGGAAAAATAGATTTTGAGTGGCACAGCTTGAGTATTAAATATCATTTCCTTTTAATTTTAGCATGCACATTATAGCAGAACTACAGTATTAAGACTTCTTGAAAAGAAATATAAGTCTCTGGTAAGTCTGTAATTCCTTTTTTATGTTGAGAAATAATACTACCAAAATATATATGATGTAATAACTTGAATATGCAAAGTTGCATGGTGATAATTAATATTGGATAATGAAGCAATTCGCCTTTTATGTGATCTTAAACTACCATCCTGTGGAACATAAAGTGATAACAATAGAGACTTAAAATGAATGCAGTCAGGATAGCAATTAGAAAATATGTTTTATGTATATAGTAAATTGGCTTCTATAAATAACAAGCTGGTTTGAGAGAAGCCATATTTTTAAGCAGTAGCATGTAGTTTGATTCAGATCAAGTATTAATAAAGCCATTACTTCTATAATATAGACCCATGTTTTTCAGTGAAAATTACATGGCAAAACTCATAATGATAAATACTTTTGCATTTTCAATAATTGGTTTGAGTTATACCAAATGTAGACTTAATACTCTAAAATATATTACCAAAATCATCTACATTTGTTACTACTAGTAGAACAATATGTAAGGATACTGAAAGAATTAAAAAGAAATCAGCACGTCTAATAAATAATTGACAAAATGAAAAACACAAAATTTATTAAGATATTCGAATGTTATACTGATATAGCTTTGGGTCAATAAACATCGTTATGTAGTTAGGCAGAATCTTGATTTAGAAGTCACATGAAGAAAAGATTCTGGAATTGTGATTTTTGGTTGAGTGCAGTAGAGCATAAAATGAAGGAAGGAGAACAATAATTGTTTTGTGTTTGAGAATCAAGAGAACTGAGCAGCAGAAGAAGAGAGGGATATTGAATAATAGGGTAAGAATTTATTTGTAAAGGTAAAATATACTTAAAAATTTTTAGAGAAATTGAATTTAAATAATTCTTTCTCCATATTTCATTCTTCTCTTATTCCCATTTTAAATAAAACTTTGTTTTTGCTTTATGAGCATAGACTGATCTTGCTAGAATACGGAAAGGAAAAATAAAGAACAGGATGATTTTTCCCCATGGTTTATCTACAGATAATAAATCACTGTTGCTATCACAGAGGCTCCAGTGAAAGTATTTCAAATAACGTTTTTTACAGATTAATTCTTAAAATTGGTTTCTTATTTGAAAAGTTAACTATAACTTTTAACCTGCAAATGGAATTATGTCATTATAAATCATCTTAATATTTTATCAACCTAGTCAAATATTTTATTTTATGTATATAGTGTATCAAACTTGTTTGACGTTTCAACTTCAACCTCCTTTGCTCTAAAAAGCTTTCCTAAATTTACAAAGTATCAAAATATTATTCATATTATATTTATTGTTTTAAAGGAAACTTGGCCCCACTTTTGAAAATAAACAATGGGGAAAATGATGCAAGATCTGTTTATTCCCATTGTATTTTCAGAATCAAGGGTCAAATTTTGTGCATCTGTGATGGAAATTGCAGACCACTCCATCAATTTGTGTTTCTGTTCTATAAGAGATTCTTGTGTAAGAACTTTACTCATAGCAGCCTGTTTAGCATGATGATCTGCTGATATATTTCCTCTAGCTTCTCATCAGTGCTCTCTGATGTCGTTTTCTGCAATGATGACATATCTGCATTGTACAATATGGTAACCATGAGCCACATATGACTGCTGAAAACTTGAAATGAGACTAGAGTAAATGGGAAACTCTATTTTTAATTTTATTTAGTTTTTATTAATTTAAATTTAAATAGGCATGTGGTTGGTGGCTACTGTATTTGTGTGGTTCTATTCTATCTTATGTTTATGACATTTTCAGTAGGTGGCATTAAGTTATCAATTTTTGTATATGCTGTTGGTTTTTTATAGATATCCCTGAAAAAGTTAAGATAATCTTTGTTCCTATAGCATCTCAAAGACATGAACTGGTTAAAAGTTTTGGCTGTCAGCGTAAATATTTAACCTTTAATTTTTAACAATTTGAATCTTGATTCAGTCAACCCCTAAAGGAATGGTTTCTGAAACAGCTTTATTTGATGCCATTTTTACTGCTCTCTGAAAGTCATTTTAAAAAATGGCTTGACGGCTTGGTCATTTAAATTCTCGCTTGGTTTTTCCTGTCTTATTTTACTTAACCTTTTTAAAAATCTCTGTCTTAGGGGTTAACAATTAAATGAACTGACTGGTATATATTTGATAGTATAGGGCAATAAGTATCAAATACAACCCTGAATTTTATAGCAAATTTGTGTCTATTTTCACAGGGGTTAGAAAAATCATTCATTATACTCTCACCTTGACTCTTTAGACTAGTATTTAAATTCACATACTATAGATCTGCTTTCTGCTCCTGTGGTTTAAAGGGATGTCATGTAATATGATTGTTTGTGTCCTGAGATTATTCCTTTTCTTTCCTGTGATTGCTGCCTTTTCTCAAATAAAGATAGCATGTTTAAGAAGATATAAGGGAAAGAGTAGAAGGGAAAGAAGGGAGTGTAAGTAAGTGGATAGTGAAGATAAAGCTGAGTAGGAATGGTTGCAAGGAGGGTAGATTTCTAAAGCCTTGAATGAACGAAAGAGTCTTTGAGAGAGATTATTTTGGAGACAGTGTTTTGAGTTTTCAGTTAAAGAAGCTGTCTATTGTTTGTTCTTTTGTCTTCTAATTCTTTAGAGCTTCTCTTAAGTGTATTGTTTTATAAATTTTTCATGTCAAGAGTTTCCTAAAGTGTCAGTTGTTATTTTAATCCACTTCTGTTTTATTTTGTTTTTTGTTAGAAAATGGATTGAAAGTTCTAGGTAGAGATAGGGGAGAAGTATTGAAGCAAAAAGATGTTTAATACATTGTGTAATAATCCAAGCAAAGGATGGTGGAACCATGGAAGAAGGATAAGACAGAATTGGGATAAATGGATGAACTCAAAATACTTTATTTAGCATATAGGATTTAGAGGACTTTTGAATGAGGGGGTTGTGATTGAGGCCTCAGACAATTGATGATTAATGTCATTCACTGAGATAAGTAACACAGTGGGAGGCACACATTTGCTGGAAAAGATAATGATTTTTAGATTTGTTAGATTTAGTCATATCTGAAATGCAGATTTCTAGGAGGCATGGGTCTGGATCCCCGACGTTTGATTTAGAAAAGACTCGTAGATATGGGAGGGGGAGGGGTCCCCAAGACAACCCCCAGGTTTAACGATTCGCTAGGAGGAATCATAGGATTCAGCATATAGTTATGCTCTGACCTATCATTTTTAACAATGAAAGGATACAAAGAACAATCAGCAAAGAGGAAAAAGTTCATTGAGTGAAGTATGGAAGATATGAAATCGCTTCCAAGAGTCTTTTCCCCACTAGAATCACATAAGACGTGCTTAATTCTTTCAGCATTGAATTGTGGCAACTTATGTGAAATGTTATATATCAGGGAAGCTCATTAGAAACTCAGTGCCTGCATATACACCATGGAATACTATGCAGCCATAAAAAAGGATGAGTTCATGTCCTTTGTAGGGACATGGATGCAGCTGGAAACCATCATTCTCAGCAAACTATTGCAAGAACAGAAAACCAAACACCACATTTTCTCACTCATAGGTGGGAACTGAAAAATGAGATCACTTGGACTGGGGAAGTGGAACATCACACACCGGGGCTTATCACGGGGAGCGGGGAGAGGGGAGGGATTGCATTGGGAGTTATACCTGATGTAAATGACGAGTTGATGGGTGCTGATGAGTTGATGGGTGCAGCACACCAACATGACACAAGTATACATATATAACAAACCTGCACGTTATGCACATGTACCCTAGAACTTAAAGTGAAAAAAAAAAGACACTCAGTGCCTGGTTTTTGTTTTTGAGGAAGGGCTGCTGATCACATAGAAACCCTCTGCCTCGTACATACCAGGGTCCAAGACTCCTAGAGGGAAAGCAGGTATTCCTCATAAACCACATTATTTGTGTAAACATTGTCAGCCATTCTCAGTTCTCAGAATGATGACAGCCCTCCTGAAATCCAAGTTCCTAAATGCTATCAAAATCCCACCTTGTAAGGAGGCCTTTTCTAAAGATAGAAGTCCTGCCACGTTACCTCTTTTCTGCATACAACTGAGGGCATAAAAATGAACGAGATGGGAAAATCCATTGATTCCTTGATGCTGCAATTATGAACTTGCTTCTTTTCAAACCTTCATTTTCTTTCCTATCTAAAGCTTAATTAATCCTTCCTTCCACTTGGATTCCATCTGCTTCTTCCTCTTATATGTATTTGTTTTCTATCAACTCTCCCCTTTCTCTCCTATATAGTCAAACTCTTCCTCTCTGTTGGCTTCCCCCAGTAACATTTAAGCATAACCATATCCTTCTAACCTGAAAAAGAGTTTAATCTTGACTCTAAGATACAGTTGTTGGTCTGTTTTAAAAATTTTCCTCACTGTCTTTCCTGAAAATAAAAATTATGCTAACTGCCTTTACTTTTTCACTTCCTATTCCTTTATTTGGTATAGTCTGGCTTTATTCACCGAACTCCTCTGAAACTGATCTTGTCAAGGTCCCCAACAACTGCCTTGTTACCAGACTTAACAATTATCACACCGTCTATCACTGGTAACTTCTATTTTTTTGGGAATTAGGATAAGAGGCCATCGATGGGTAGGCAGGTGCTGAGGAAAGGGGAGAAGGTTTGAAGCCTCTGCTTGTGGAGAATGAGAGGAGGAGTTAGAATGGAGACTAATAGGAGAATCGCTGGGTACAGTAGGGGTTGGAGATCATTTTTTTATTGTGACTGTTTTCTTTGACTTATGAGATTTTTCTTTATCAACTTTTAGCAATTCTGGTATTTGAGATGGAAATAAAGACTTGATCCACTTGATATTTTGCTGGCTGGGTAGGAGGAAAAGATTCTAAGGCAAAGGAACTGGACAAGATAGTTTCTAAAGTTATGGTCATGGCCACAGAGTTTTTGCATCTTTCACTATAAAATATAAAGTATATATTTATTTCTGTCCAATGACACCAACATTATAAACATTATTGTATTTGTTGGTCCACAAATATTTTCACGGTGTTCACCAGAGTGATGCCATAGTTAAAATGTAATTGAGGAGGCTGAGCTTTAATAGCTAGAAAGGTACTGTACTAAATATTTTTCTCCAATATTTCTCCAAAGCATTTTTACAGCTTTGACTAATTTCTTTTAATTCTTGGACTTGAGGGCTGCGAAGTTCTGGAATTAATAACTTATTATTTCATCAGATAACTACAGCCATTCAACAGTGTGTTCAGTACTTTGAACTGTGTAAGACTAGGAAAGCTGAGGAAACTTTGGGACATTCAAAGCATTGCAGTAAGTATTATTTCCTCTATTACATACTTTTAAAAATGGTAGAGTTTATTAGTAAATAGAGTTTATTAGTAACTTTTACTTTTTAATGATTGTTAGTATGGTAAATGAGGTCACTTTTATTAATGACTTTGGAAAATATATTTTACACATTTATAAGATACACTATAATCATTATTTTCTATAACAGATCTATATTTGAAATTAATATACAACCCTACTGATTCTTATTAGATGCAGTTCTTCAATTCATAGTAGGGTATATAACCTAATCTGTTATATTGCAATAATATACAGTCCATTCTTTCCCCTACAGTAATGTATCAGTCATCTAATCAGGCACATATGCACTTTAATGGGAGAAAAACTTCCATAAAATGTTGTTTTTATTTTTGCACACTCCGTGTTACCCCGTGATCCTTCTTTGCTTATTCTCTGTCTGAGCTAAAATGTCCCGAATGCTTCGTAATCTGGCCCCGATTTCTCTATACTATCTCTTCTCTAGTTATTGACTAAAATGAATCTTCTCTTAGTCTTTTTTGCATACCAATGCCTATACAACATTATTTTTACTCCTACTGTCCCATCCATAATTCCCTACACTAATAGATATCTTATTTATCATGAAAGAAGAAATTGTATTTTATTAATTAATTTTTTTAGACAGAGTCTCGCTGTGTCATCCAGGCTGGAGTGCAGTGGCATGATCTCGGCTCACTGCAACCTCTGCCTCCCGGGTTCAAGCGACTCTCCTGCCTCAGCCTCCCAAGTTGCTGGGAGTACAGGTGCCTGCCACCATACCCGACTAATTTTTTGTATTTTTAGTAGAGATGGAGTTTCACTGTGCCGGCCAAGCTGCTCTTGAACTCCTGACCTTGTGATCCAACCACCTCGGCCTCCCAAAGTGCTGGGATTACAGGCCTGAGCCCTTGCTCCCGGCAGAAACTGTATTGTAAATTTCAAGGCCTCCCTGCCTATTCTGAATTTTTCTTGCTTTTGCTTATGTCACACAATTTGCCATGTGAACCTGATAGCTTTTATTGTTCTGTTGTTTTTATGTTGTTTCCTTAAGCATATAGTAAGCTCTTTTGAGAGTATGATGATATCTTATACTTTTCTTCGTTCTTGCGTGAATTTCTTTATCTAACTCAAAGCAAAGGGGATGGAGATAGACCAATAATTAATGGGTTTCACAAGCTAGTGTTTAGTAGGGGAGGAGAAAGTGTAGAAGTTATAATTTATTCTTCAAGAGAAGGAAAAAGACATATAAGTTCATATGTTATCTCATTTAAAAACTTAGATTTTTCTAATTTCTTGATATCAAAATGTAATATTTAGCTCCTTTCCCCCCATTATTCTCTCAGCCCTTCATGGTTTTGCTCTCTTCCCTATCTACTAAAGACCTCAGGGTGCCTCACTGCATTTGTATTGTTGTTGTTGTTGCCATGTTTTTAAAAGAATTCTTGCGCATTTCTCTTTCAGAGTTTTCTGCCTGCAGTTGCCCAACTTCAGGTCCATTCAATTCTGTATCTTTTCTGGTACTCAGGAAATTAAGCAGAGAGTATATGACATGGCTTGATAGTAAATATATATTTTCTGACTTCAGTTGCTCTCTCTCTCTGTTGCTTTGGAATCCTCCTAGATGTTCTTTCTTCAGGGTTCCATAAGAGCTATTACAAGCCCTTGTTAGTCTCATCGAACCCTCTGCTTTGCTTCTGCCCAATTCTCTCTCAGGAGGAGGAGCCCTTGCTTACTCTTGCATTAAGAAAAATGGAGCTTTCCAGATATGAATTCTCTAAGTGTCTTACTTCTTTGTATGCAAATATATATTTATGTGCCCTAATCAATATTTCCTTTTGTTAGCCTGCGAAGAAGAGATGTTTTGTTTTAGATTGATGTCTTGATTCTTTTATCTTCTGTGTGTGTGTGTGTGTCTCTAAAAAGAACCAGAACATTGCTTATGTGTGTGTTTGTGTGTGTGTTTGTGTGTGTTTTAAGAACCAGAAGATTGTTATTATTGTGTCTCACTTTCTACTGGCACTTTTCCCTGCATCCTCTAACCTTCTCGTGTGTCTTTCGTATTAAAAAAATGAGCAAGTTCTTTGCTTCATTATGTGCCTTACCTCTCTGCTTCCCATTAGAGAAGAGCTCTTCTATTCTAAGTAGTCTCTATACTCCCAGGTCCCATTCTTTACCTTATATTCGCTTTTCAACCATGGAAATAAGGCTTTTATTTCTTCTGCCCCATGACCTTCCCATGTATCAGCATCTCCTCTTTCTTGTCCTACTTCTACAGCATTTGCTTTCACTCTTCGTCATGGTAACATTCTTGCTTAGAGTTCCTCATTCTCTAGTAAGTTTTTCTTGGTCACTTGAAAATCTCTTTCTTTTTCTTTGTATGTTTGTGCTCATAAAGATTTTGCCCTTGGCTCTTTTCTCACCTTAGTCTACCTGCTCTCTTGGGAGGAAACTATTTACTTTCACGGTTTCAAATATTATATATTTATATATAAATGATGACTGGAATATTTGAGACCACATCCCTTTCGTGAATTCCACACACATACACTCACCTTATTTAGTGTCTCTATCTGGATGTTACGTGGGCACTTTGAATTAAAATATTAAAGATGGAAATCACAGTTTTTTTCCCTTTTTAGACTTTTTTTTTTTCTTTAGACAAAGTCTCACTCTGTCACCCAGGCTGGAGTGCAGTGGCACGATTTTGGCTCACTGCAACCTCCGCCTCCCGGGTTCAAGCAATTCTCATGTCTCAGCCACCAGAGTAGCTAGGATTACAGGCGCTTGCCACCATGCCCGGCTAATTTTTGTATTTTTAGTAGAAACGGGGTTTTGCCATGTTGGCCAGGCTGGCCTCAAACTCCTGACCTCAGGTGATCACCTGCCTTGGTCTCCCAAAGTGCAGGGATTACAGGCATGAGCTACTGCTCCTGGCCTTCTTTTTAGAATTACTTAAATAGAAGAAAACTTTACTCCGAACAAAGATACTTGAATTAGGACCTTGAGTTTTCTTATCTTCTCTCATTCTTTCACTGTCCATGTGTAATTCTTCCTAAGGCCTATTGATTTTATTTTCTTAAACTTTTATTTTTACTACTCTTCTGCATTCCTTTTACTAATGTTTTTGTTCATGATTTTCTTGATCTTTTTATTTCAGACTTTGACCTTTTATTCACTTTTTATACTGCCATCAGAGCCTGATTTCCACAATTCATATTTATTACTTTGCTGCTTAAAACCCTTTGATGTCTTCCCAATTGCCTCTATAATAAAGTCCAGATTCCTTATGAGGCTAAGTCCCTCCATGATCTGCCCCTTCTAGTCCCTTCTCTTCCACTTGTTCTCCTCATGGTCTGGTCGGATGAGATTATTTGTCATACTCTGGATTGGAAGCCCAGTTTCAGGGTTCTTAATGGTTTTTAACACTAGTGTTCAGGATCTTGTATAAAATAGGTACTCAACAGACTTTGAATGTGCAGGTGAATGAGTGAATGACAAATACATATTGGGAGATGTCTATATCTTAGAGATTCTAATTTCACTTAGACGTGTGCTTGTTAATATGATCTTTTGTAATATTGGCTTTTAATTGGTGGAATTAAACAGTAACTAACATTTTCTATTAATTTTCTTCTGCCCTTAACTTAGTTTTGAAGTTCCTCTTCAGTGACAGATAGCTGTGACAATCTTATGGTATTTATTTTAGAATGGACACTATATGTATACTATTCCTATCTGAGGCTGCTTTTTAAGATGATTGCTTTTCTTTGGGGATTTATTGTAAAGGATCTTAGGAAACAATAAGGAAAATAAATAATTAAAAAATTTTAGACCAACAGTGTCTCCATTCTAGCCTGTAGCCTTGTTTAATGTCTAGAAGGGAATGAAGACAGGTACTGTAAAATATAATGATGCTAAATAAATGTTCTTGTTTGCTTCTCTTTTAAGGAAAAAAGCAGAAAACTTTCTACTACTTAGGACAAGAATTACAATATATTTATTTCATTCACTCACTGTGCCTTTTAGGAAGATTATTGATCTATAAACAAGGCAGAAAATTGTTTCCTATTAAGCTGAAGAATAAAAAAGGTAAGTACAATTAGGAGAAATAAATTTTGTTAAGATACGCTAAGATTTATATGTGATGGAGTATTCAAACTTGGAAATTTGACATGTTCCTTTCTACGGTACTTAGCTACATACCTTTTAGTCTATTGATAGCTTATACACTTCGAAGTATTTGTTTTCTTTTAGTTTTCAGTGTGTACTTCTTCCTACATGTATTTTTTGTTTATTTGTTTGTTTTTGTTTTTGTTATTATTCCTTCAGCCTTTAGGAATCCAGATATAGGTTTAGAGCTAGAAGACCTTAAGTTCTCATTCCATTATAAACTAGTTGTGATCTTTTGGGAAAATCACTTAACCTTTGTTGTTTCAGTTTCTTTATCTGTAAAAATTGAATTGTGAAATCAGTACTATTTGGCTTACAGAATTTTTGTGATCACAGAGAAATTGAGGTTTGCAAATACTGTTTTATAAACTGCAAAGCCCTGTGTCATTTTATATATTACCATATTATTTTTACCCTAAGTCTCATTTACTTTTTTCGTGTCAAACCTCAGCACATGCTGTTAGTATATTCTTAAACTCTTAAGGGAATTAAAAATGATAACTAAGAATATAGTGTATAGCAGGGACCAGCAAACGGTTTTTTTTTTTGTTGTTGTTGTTGTTTTTTTTGTAAAGCACCACATAGTAACATAGTAAATATTTTGGGCTGTTTTGGCCACATACTACTTTTGTATATTCTCTCTCTGTGTGTACGAAAAAAGAGTTAATGCAGCAGGCCTGAAACAGCTATCCTTAGAAAGGCCTGTTTGCAAGGTTGGACCTTGGCTGGGACCTAGGAACTTGGATTTCCTATTGTTTCTAGAACTGATGAGTGCCTGAACTGTGTACGGATCACCGCCTAAACTGTACAATGTTAATTATGTGGAGTATCTGGTGTTCTTTTGGGAGTTTAAAATTTTGGCGTGTGCTAGGTAGAGTGTGCTTACATACTTAGATCCCCCAAAACCTAAAGGACTGGTTTTCTAATGAGTTTTCTTGGTAGATGACATTTCACATGTGTTGTCATAACTTGCTGTTGAAATAATTAAGTGTATTTTCTGTGACTCAACCAGGAGAGGACGCTTAGTAGTTTATACTGGTTAGCTCTGGACTTCACCCCATGCACTTTTGCGCTTTGATTTTGCTTTGTATCCTTTTGTTACAGTAAATCATAGCTGTGAATACAATTATATGCTGAATCCTCTGAGTCTTCTTAGTGAATCATTGAATCTGGGCATGGTTTTGAGGACCTCTGACACATTTAAAAAATGTGAAATCCATTCCTATCTTGTGAGCCTTATAAAATCAGTCCACAATGGCTATAGTTTGCCGACCCCTGGTATAGAGTATATTTATTTTGAATACTCTTTTATACTGTTTTGTAGCTTTTTTAATTTCTCTAAATCTTTTCTTCTCAGTTGATTGTGAGCTCCTTGAGAAAAGACATTGCCTTATATACATCTCTTGTAGTTCCCATGGTAGTGCCACATAATTGTATGCATAATGAGCACTCAGTAGATAATTGACTTTTAATAAAAGAGCTATCATTTTATAGGATACTGTTGAACTTTACAGAAATATACTAATGTATACTTGTGATGGTGCAGTGTTCAGCTTACATTTATATGTCTGTCATCTATAATTTATTTATCATTTTGTATTGACTTTTAACATCTACGTTTTGGCCTACCAAATTATTATAGATCATCTGAAAATTGAGTTTCTAGAGGTTTATTCTACTATGTTAGACTATGTTAGACTAATGTTAGGTCAACAGTCACCTTTAAGTTTCACATGTGATTTCACCAGACTCTTTTAATGTAAACCTCTATAGCAAGAGTTGGTAAATTTTTTCTATGGGCCACATTTGTTCTACTATCTTGTTTGTACACTTGTGAGCTAAGAATGGTTTTTATGTTTTTAAATTGTTGAAAAAAATTAGGGTGTTTTGTGGTAAGTGAGAAATATACATTAAATTTTAGTGCACACAGAGTTTTATTGGAGAATGGCCATACTCATTTATTTGCATATCATCTACATATATTTAGTGCTACCACGGCAGACTTGAGTATTTGTGACAGAGATCATTTGGCCACAAAATCTAAAATATTTACTCTCTAGTTCTTCAAAGAGGAAAGTTTGCTAAGCCCTGTTCTACAGTTTTTTTTTTTTTTTTTTTAGACGGAGTCTCGCTCTGTCACCCAGGCTGGAGTGCAGTGGCCGGATCTCAGCTCACTGCTACCACGGCAGACTTGAGTATTTGTGACAGAGACCATTTGGCCACAAAATCTAAAATATTTACTCTCTAGTTCTTCAAAGAGGAAAGTTTGCTAAGCCCTGTTCTACAGTTTTTTTTTTTTTTTTTTAGACGGAGTCTCGCTCTGTCGCCCAGGCTGGAGTGCAGTGGCCGGATCTCAGCTCAC